TCAAATAATGAATTCAAAATTTGAAGCTTTATAATGACCATTAATGGTGAACTCTTGTTGCTATAATTTTACAGATTTGAAATTTTTGCTTGAAAATATGATTTTGTACAAATTTTCATCTTTCCATTTCTTTTTCCGTCGTATTTTTGAGTAAAATTAATGAAATATGGACAAAAAATGATTTGAAGATAGTTATTTATATGAAAATTTCAAAGAAGAAGAATAATAAAAAAAAAAAAAAAAAGAAAGAAAAAAGAGGAGGAAAATAATAATGATAGAAAAAGAGACAAAGAAGAAGAAGAATAAAAAAAGCGAAGGAAGATGAAAAAGGGTAGAGAAAGAGGCAAGCGACTGTACAATTTTCTTAATTCCAAAAAATTATTATATTTAGTTAGAAAAATTATATTGTCATAGATGGTAAATATTTATTTAATATAGCATATTTATGTGATTTACCCAATTTAATATGGATACAACAATTTAAAATTAAATTTATATTACGATGAATTTGGTCTAGTTTTACTCCACATTGTGTATATATACACATGGTTTCTATCTTTCTTTTTTTTAAATAATGAACTATGTACATCGTTATTTTTGTTTCTTTTTCTTTTTCACCTTCCTAAGTTCTTTTTGTTTCTTTTGAGTTGATGAGAACTAATATCTCTATCCCTCGCGGATAAAAATAAAGTCTGTTTACATTTTAGTATTCTCAAATTTTACTTATAAAATTATAATGATATATTATTATTGTTATTACAAAAATCTACTCCTAATGAACTAGAGTTCGTGGCACTGCAGTCTGCAAGTCTGCTCCTCTATTTAATGAAAAAGTAAAAGAAACTCCTTTTGCGTATCTTCCAAATTTCTTCAGATATTCTACAGGCCTATAATTGATTATTAATATAGGAATATTGATTTGATGGATATGCTACCACTAAATTATTTCACAAGATGTTCGTGTTCTCTTATTTCGGCAATGTAAATTTTTATGGTATCGTTCAAATTTCAAGAGTCAAATCGTTAATTTGGACATGTATTCATTAATTTTTAAGAAATAAAATTTAAATATTTTTTTTAAAAGAAATATAATTCATAATAATTGATAACTCAAAATATTTAGAAGACACGAAAAAAATCATTGTAAGACTTTCAAACAAAGATCATTGTAACTCCAAAATTAAGTCCTCTTATCACGAGGTTGATGTAAATAGAAGTGTAGAACTATATAGACTAGTTTAAATACTTTTATTATATTTATTTAGTCTATATGTGTTTTTCTAAGTAGGATAATCAATACAATGATATGCCAGAAGTTAAAATGCTGAATTATGTGTTTGGAATAGATAATAACAAAGTAACAAGAGACCATTCACAATGTAAAATCACTATCTCCTCTCCTAAATACAACCAACAATCTCCATTGCCCCTTCTTCCCCTTCTCCTTCCTCATGAAAAAGCAAAAAGAAAGGGGGGATGGAAATAGAAATTAGAAAAAAGGGTATAACATAAAAATTAAAAAAAAAAAAAAAAAAAATCATTTTACAAGTGCCTTCACATTTTTCTTCAGTTCACTTGGAAAATCATGGCTTTTTCATTAAGATCCAGATGATTTTGGCATCCTATAAATATGTTCTTCACCACTTTTTTCATCAACAACAAAAACCCATTTGCTCTTATCACCCTTTTTCACTACATGTCCATTTTTTTTCTCTCCACCTCTAATTAAATGAGAATAACATCCTGATTTGCTCCTATTTTCCTTTTTCCCAAACTCTGTGCTTTTACCAATCATTGTAACTTCTAATCCTTTACCAATTGGATGTTGTAGTGATCTTACCTTTACTTTATTCTCCACTTTCTTCAAATGTCCTCCTCCTATCCCTTTTCTCCCTTGTACATTATTCGTAACGACGACTGATCTTCTTGGATTAACGTCAAGTTTCTCCATCAAAATCTCGTAATCATTTGTCTTGCGATCTACTAATGAGAAATCGATGTTCTCGTAGTTGTGTAAGATTTCAACAGGGTCCCCTGTTTTGAATTCTACCATGTCGTTTAGCCCTGTTTCTTGAATTACTTTTTGTGTTTTGTCGAGTATTGGTTCGGGTATAATGCAGACTAATTTACCCCCTGTTTGACGAGCTGCGGCTGCTAAGGCTACGGTTGAGGGTGAGCCTTCTGTTGTGACTTCCACTATTAGCTTCGCGCTCATTCCAGCTGCTAATGCTGATAGGAATTCATTGCACTCTGGTTCTTGTGTTCCAGTACATGAATTGCACATCTGCTTGTGTTTGCCACACTGCAAATTATTCCAATAAATCAGTCAGTTATGTGTGAATTTGGTATTCACAAATGAGCACACATTATAATGTTTCATTATAAGGAACATGGTGGTATTTGAATTTTGATGTGAATGGGTTTGATCTCATGACCTTTGCAATGCAATCTATGGGGCTCAAAATTAGGTGTACGTCTATGTGGCGTTATAATTTACACACGGGATGCCACATTTTATTCCATTAAAAGAAAGGGTAGAAGTGATCCAATAGTTAGACACAAGAGGTAACTTTGAGTCCAAAAATAATTAAAGGGTATATTTGGTCTATTTCAAATAATTGAAGGATAGTTTTGGTTCTTTTCCATTGTAGATATTGTAAGAAGAAAATGTTAAATCTCAAATGGATATCAATGCTTTTTCAATAGAGGATGAAATTTTTGACAAGGTAAATTAAAAGAATCGGTTTTTAAAAAAAACAGAGCCATTCTTTCTATGTAACACAAAGGAGGTTTTGTTATTATTATTATTTTTTAGTTTTCTGAAATATACAGACATACTTCCATTGGTTTCTCATCCACATGTACCAGGAATCAGAATTTTGTTCGAGAATTTATATGGACAGGCAGCCCGATGCATAAAACAACATGCATTAGCAGAGTCCAGGAAGAATCGCAACCCAAGGGATGCTCAAAACAGAACCAAAAGGAAGAGATGTAAATAATTAAATAGGAGACTTACCAATTTGAGGGTGTCAAGATATGCATTGGCAGCATATTTTGGGGACCATGCCATTCTAAGTATTATTAATTAGCGTTTCAATGAGCAAACAACACAAAAATGTAATTAAGAAGCTAATTAATCCAATCGTGTTGCAGGCTGCCTTGTTTAATGATCACCTCCTTAATCTCTCTATTCTCTTCCTTGTTACGTTGTTAAACGTAATTTTGTGATATTTTTCTTTTCAAAGGTAGTTATTAATTAGTACTAGAGAGATATTTAAGGACGATTATATTACTTGTGTGATACATGGGGGAGTTTAAAGTTTTAAAAATTTGTGGTTAACGAGGATAAACCGGGGCTTAGTAATTAATCCCACGCATTTTTGGGGGAATATATCCTCGTTTTGACCAACTAGATTTACCTTCTGAAAATCTACCTATTTTTAATTAGAAAAAATGGAATTTCAAAGATATTTGTGTTTGAACAAAATCGTTTGAGTGAGTACAAATGTACAATAAAAGAAAATATTATAAATACTACACTTTGTAGATTGTAGTTAATTAGTATTTTACTATTTAAATGGACGGAAATTCACAAATTAAAGCTTGACCTTTTCATACCTAGTGATGTTATTTACGACATTAAAAGAAATAATTCATTTCTATAAACATCTAACTTTTGATTTATTTGTAACATTTCTTTCATCTGTCTTCTTAGTTTTAAGACTTTTGAATTTTCTTTTCATTCTTGTAATATTTCACTTGTATTCTTTTGAAGTGAATTAAATTTTGATTTTATTGTGTCCGAAAATTAGACATAAATTAATTTTTTTTCCAAACCTCATAAGTTTTTGATATTTTCATATATTATTTATTAGCTATTTTTATATAATAATAATAGCGATTTAATCACTATATATATTCGATTTCCACTACGAGATTGTGACTACCTAGCTAACTTCTAAATAATTTAATTAGTTAGTGTAAAGATAAGATTGTAGCGAAAAAGAGAGACTATACAAAGATCTCCCATCTTATTTAATGCCAAATATTGAGTCACTTAATTTGCAATAACGTGGCATGCATCTAAATTCATATGTTCACAAGTTCGTTTGGAACCTTTTGTCTCTTCTCAGAAAAAAGTGACAACACTGTCAACAACAAGTCTCAGCTATTTCTCTTCTACTTGTTACATACTAACAAATGGTACAAGGATAGCCATTAAACTTTAAATAAATGTTAAAATAATTACATCAATCAACCTACCGACCTTTAAATGCGTCGTACTAAATCATTATTTCATTTTATGTGTGTTTTCAGAGAATTTAAGATGTAGGGAACAAATTCACTTCCCTATTCCACTGATTAGTGTGGAGCTACAAGTTTATTTATCGATTCAATAGAATCTAATAACTTTAGCTTAGAGATTATTTTTATATATTAAAATTGATTTAATATTCTATTTAAAATTCAATAATGAAGCTATTTTTTTTTAATTCAAAATTTGCACTCACCTTAGAGCCTGATGACTGTTCTAGTCCCTGACCTATAAGATATAATTAATAAAAAACGCATATCATCATGTCAAAAATTATATTTGATGGTAAGACCATGTAACATCATTTCTTAATCAAGTTTATCAGGTTGGCAAGCGCCCTGTTCAATCATTCGAGCCATCACTAATGCATCACTTGGATCGATCATTATCAAGTAGTTGTGCCAGTTTATGAATTTAATAAAAGTTTCTCTTTAGTTTACAGTTGAAATAATGTAACTACTCTTTGTCCACCCAATTAAAGCTAAGCTAAGCTTCCTTTCTTCTTTAAATAATTTCAGCAGTATATGCTAGATCGTATAGTTTGATTAATATGGAGTGTGGTGGAAAGAAAATGGTTCTCAAGCCTATACGAACATCAAAGAAATTAAATGATGGTGATGAAGAAGAAGCAATATTATTGAGTCCAGGTTCTCGAATGTTCCATGAACCTAACTACAATATTCACATTGTAGCAATCATGGGTTGGAAAATACCACTAGATATTAACTCTCTCAAAGCCCAAATACTAAGCAAGTTGCTTAAACATCCACGCTTCTCCAGTTTGCAGGTAATTACTATTACAGTTTGTTTTATTTTTACTTGTCCACTATACTAAAAATTAGTATAGCTTATTGCAAATATATTACGTACAGGTTATGGATGAGAGTGGAGAAATGAGATGGGTTCCGACGACAGTGAATATAGATGATCATGTCATAGTACCCCAGCTGGATACTATTAATAATACTATGGACACAGACAAGTTGGTCGAACAGTATATGTCAAACCTAAGCACGACAACTATTGACATATCGAAACCTCTATGGGATATTCACATACTTAACGTGAAAACATCCCATGCTGAGGCAACTTCTATTTTCCGTTTTCACCATTCTCTTGGAGATGGAATTGCCCTTATGTCCCTCTTACTCTCTTGTTTTCGAAAAACATCGGATCCTACTTCTTTGCCTACACTTCCAGTTTCTTCGAAGAACAAATCGAATAGTAAAAATATTAGGTCGTTGATATGGCAGTACATTGTGAAGTTGTGGCTGTTCATCAGGCTTTTGTTCAATACAGTTGTTGATGTTTTGCTTTTTATAGCGACTGCTTTATTCTTGAAGGATTCTCAATCACCTTTTACAGTTGCAAAAGGATTTAACAAAAAGCACTCTACTGGCCAGAGATTTATCTATCGGACTGTTAGCTTGGATGATATTAAATTTATAAAAAATGCGACAAACGCTGTAAGTATTATATTATATATAGATATGCTTATAAATTTGAATGTTGTTTCACTGTTTTGGCCTTTTAATTACTTGGATCTGACACAAGTTTTATCTTTAGACGATTAACGACGTTATTTTGGGAATAACACAAGCGGCTTTGTCTCGTTATATCAACCGAAAATTCGGTAATTAATTAAGCTCTTTTTGTATAAATTCGCCGCTACCCAAAGGGGGCTAAAATGCTATAGTGAATTTACTTCTCTTAACTAGATGTTGAAGGCAAGATGAAAGAACAAATGAGATGCAGAGCCACTGTTCTAGTGAATCTGAGACCAGCTTTGGGAGTTCAAGTCAGTATTTCTTCATCATGTGTTGCTATATGTGTACAATATTTGATTATACGTGCCTAATCGCGCTATTAATTAATTATCTATAAAATGACAGGCCGTAGCAGAAATGATTGAGAAGAATGCGATAGTAATACAAGGAAATTGTTTTGGCTTTGTCATAATTCCTTTAGATATAGCTCAATTACAAAATCCTCTGGATTATGTTCACAAAGCTAAGATATCAATGGATCGAAAAAAGCGTTCTCTTGAGTCTCAATGTACCTTTTACATTTTACAGCTTTTCCTCAACTTGTTTGGCTTTAAGGTACTCCAAATTTTATTTGCCCTCTTTACACCTTAAAATTATCAAGAAATTGAACATTGAATTAACTATTAATTATTAATGTAACATTTTTTATGTTTGCATTGGCAACCTAGGGTGCAACAAAACTTGCTAATAGAGTTCCATCTCAAACAACACTAGCTTTTTCAAACGTAGCTGGTCCACTTGAAGAAGTTTCTTTCTCAGGCCATCCATTGGCATTCCTTGCCCCTACATGCTATGGCCAGCCCACTGTAAGTTTCTTCCATCAACGAAATTAGTAACTATATATTTTTCAATCACAGACGAGTTGAGATTGGTTATATATATATAAGAATCTTATTTTTTCATACCGTTAGGCCGAAATCGCTAAATTTAATTACTATATTGTAGGGGTTAATGGTTCATGCGTGTAGCTATGCGAAGAAGTTAACATTTGCTATAACAGTTGATGAAGGAATGATTTCAGATCCTAACCAGCTTGGTGATGATTTTGTCCATTCATTTATAAGCATCAACGAGGCTGCTCTTTCAAAATTCAGAACCAAAGTTGATTAGCTCATTACACTTTTAAAATTTATATTTTGTTATTTAATACTGTAATGGCTATACATTGTAATAAAGTAGAATTATTATCCTTGTGTTTGTACCAATTTTATGGTCAATAATTAGATCACTTCCTATAAAGGAAAAATAACTGCAGCATTTGAGTTATCCAGCTTGAATTTAGAGCACGTTTCGATTCATTTATTTTAAGTGTTTTTAAATCAAAATATTTTTTAAGTACTTTTAGAATTGTTGAATAAATAAATTAAAGTGCTTATATTTTCAACTAAAATAATAAATATAAGTCAAAAACTAAAGAAACCAATCCTGATAGGCTTTTAGATTTATCAAAAATGGGCCGGCCCAACCTAGCCCAGCGGGCTGGAGATTACAATAGTTAGCCCAACTCTATTCTACATCTAAAAGGGCCTCCAAAATGCTAGTCCAATCCAGTCCTAAGCGGGCAGTGGGTTGACCCGTGGGCCAGCTTCACAATTTATTTATTTTTAAAGAAAAAGAAATCTATGAGCATTATATTTCGAATAGAGATTAAGTATTATCCACTGATAGTGGATAAGAAAATTACACCGTTAGTTGTAAACCCCCTCCCCTCCATGTGCATATGCCCTTTTACTATTCAAGTGAATTTGGTGATAAAGAACTTTAGAAACTTGATTTTCAGTCGATAAATTTATTATCTATATTAAAAAATGTGAAGACAAGCTGTTTAAAAATAAGGATATTGCTAGAGTGATGATAGAGGTAAAACCAAAGCAAACTTTAGTCACTTGTGTATCTACTTTGAAACTGACTTTGATTATTTCCATTGCTACCACGAGCGTGGTAAGAACATTCTCGTTAATGAAGTCAATAAAGAATGATCTGCATAATAAGATTGATGAATATCTTTTGAATGGTTGTTTAGTTTGCTATATAAAGTGTAGTATATTTATAATTAGCTCATCGAGGATAATTATAAAGTGAATGACGTTCTTTTTGCTAATATAGTACTATATAAAGGTTGCTGGTCAACTTGTTATTACCGTAAATTTTATATAAATAAATCAAATATCTATTTTGAAGATAAAAAGTCTTTTTGTGTGATTTGTTATTGTCTTTAATTTTGTGTTTGACAAAGTCATTGGCATTTGAGTTACCACTACTCAACGACAAATATATTTGTTTTATCTAGGTGAAGTAATTCGAAAACTCGGATCCAATGAGAAAAATATTATTAAGGACACAATAGATTTTA